CGCAACAGCAACATAAACAAAAAATGCTGGTTCGGATTCGGTGGCATTTTTTCGGTTCGAGCTAATAATTTAAATGTCAATGGGCGAGAGAGCAGGCGAAGGCGACTCTAACCAGATACTCGTAACCAGCTTGTCTCGGTTCGTGGTTGTGGCTGTGTCCCGGTCCGTCCCCTGACGAGCCGATACCCCAGTCAAACACCCGAACCCCCAGCCAAGTGACCTAATTTCGAGCAGACACTCACTGCAGCATAGCAGCCAGAGCAGCCAGAGAAACACTTTCTCCTGGACCGATCGAGTTCTGGCTTCTCTTGGTCGTGGGCCCAACTTCGACCTCGTCTCAAGCTCGCAATTAAGAGAAAATTTAATTTTGAATTTATTAAGGTAAATAAGCAGCAGACGGCCCCTATAAAGTGGTTCGTGTCTCGTTTTTGACATAAATCAAAAGTTTTCTTTCCTATATAACCACTTACATACGTACATATATAATTTATACACACATGCGATCAAATTCAGAACGGACAGAACAAAACAACAGACAGCAGCAGAAGCAGAAGGAGAGATAATGACGGCACTCCGCAGATTCATCAGTTCCATAACAAGGCCTCTCCCTGGATCTGGATCTGGATCTGGATCTGGATTGGTCTTGGGTATTTGCTGAAAGCATTTCTGAAATACAATCGTTCGATGACTGTATCACAGCTGCAGCGTTCAATTAGAGGGGTTCTTGAATTTTGGGTACTAATTAGATGGTTCAAATATGTAAATGATTGAATGTATTTCATTTCGGAGATCTAGTTTTAAGAAAGGCTTAGGCCTGGAGGTGTATTCTCTTCTAAGACTGCAGCTTCTCAAAATATCATATATTTTTAATCACACATTCCCCACGCGATTGAAGACAAAGGCCAGCATGCCACTTGAAGTTGTTCAGTGTTTACCTTCAACTCAATATTTTGGAAGATCAAAAATCGAATACAACGAACCGAAGAGAAGATTTCAAAGTATCAGTTACAAAACGTTTCAATTTTTGCTGCCTCACTGGGCCTCTCGTGGAGGGGCTATAGTTTGGTACATTGGAACACGTGCCTGTGTCCGCGACCCAGAAGAGAGGTGCCTGCCCCCTGCACAGAAATCAGATACTTTTTATTTGCCACATACTCGAGGCCCAACCAAAGAATGCCAACCGAATTGGTGATAAATTCATCGATGAATTTGTTTAGATAGCAAAATCAACCGAAACTGTTCCTCTGGTCGTGAATGACTTGTTTTCTTGGTTTTTGTGCGTCGGCAAGTTGCCACCGCAACTATCCATAAATGGCTAATGACATTGGATTAGCATAAGCTGTGCAATTAATCTTTGTAATAAGTGGACAAACCAAACCAAATCGAGCTGGAGCCACCAGCCAAAGACAAACACTCGGGGCTCGGGGCTCGTGGCACATGCAGAAGATGGGTAGATGGGGAGAAGAAACTTGGAATTATTAGGAATTGTCTACGCAAGTCTTTTGTATGATTAATGAATGGAGGGAACGGGTCCCCAGACCAACGATATTCAGGTTTTATATGCAAATTATGCGTTAAGGGCGTAGAAGACCGCATCTATTAGGGTCGGACCACAGTCCAACACAATCCACCAACGCCTTCTGACCAGCCTCAGAATTGGACCCAGAATAGGAGTCACATCACACTCCCACTATCAGCTGCACATTGATGCATATTAATGTGTCTGGAACGGACTTCAAATGCAGTTAGTCGCATGTGCGGCATATTAATTATGGAATTTCTTTTGCTGCCACTCCAATGAACCTTCGTTTGCGTATCTCTGCGTGGAACCTCGAATGTGTGCACGAGTGTTGGTCGAGAAAGAGAAGATGAAAATTACTCATAAGGCACCAGAAAATATGCCGACAGGCCGGGACTTGGTTTACAATACGATCATGGTAGAAGTTACCCAGATTTGGGTGCTGCTTTTCCAAAGAATGTTTCTCAAGTCTTATAGAATATCATACAATTGGGTTTGGGTTAACTGGATTAAAATAGTTTCAGACTTCTCATGTGACCAGATACTTAGATTATTGGAATTCATATTCTAAATCAGGGCTCGGCACGGCCCTATCCAAAGGGTATAGGAAAAGGCGCAGCTGCTGCGCTGCCGCTCACGTATACGCGAATCACAGTGATTCGTACCAATACCAATATAGTGAAATGTTCCGTTTTGCTTGCGTCTGCACACACAATACAGGTGCCGAGCCCTGTTCTAAATGCCCAATAGCAAATCACAATCCCAAAGAGAAAAGAGCCATTTAAAACGAATAGATTAATGTCTTTCTGAATTTCCTGGAAATTATATCTCCCCGCTTTATATCGGAAAGGGTAATTCCAATCGGAACGAGTAACAGAACATTAGCAGACAGAGTTTGACAGTTTTTTGAGAGAGCCATTAAGTGGGTAATATGATATTAGTTGGCTGGCCAGAGTAACAAGTTGCCCGAGATCAGGGTGCTTTCTCGGCCAGGTTCTGAGCTGGCAGCGCCATAAATCTGCCAGACAGCAGCGGGTTGGGCTGCGAGCATAAGAATGAATGGGCACGACCAATGCCATACGCAAAGACTCAACTTATGTTCAGCTGCCATTTATATGGGTGTCACTCCACTTCTTTGTCGATTGTCTATTGTCGATTATTGAGTGTCTGGCCAGAGCGCAGCTAATTAATGCACCGCCCGAAACGAACACATAAAATGAAACGAACAAAACCCAAACCCGTTATAAAGAAATCTATCGGCCAGGGAGAGGAGCTGCCGAGATGACCTCTTTCCGTCACACACTGATAAGGGGTCGTAGAGCAAACGGTGCTTATTGGGAGAACTGGAATCAGCAGATCCGATTAACACCCTTCCCCATAAGGTGACAGCAGAGAAAAGTATTCAAGCAATTTATCGATCGTCATGCGCAGATAAGGGGGGGGGGGGCTGTTCATATATTTTTTGTAATGTGGTTTTGTTGAATTTTGTGGTATAAACTGCGATGAAGCTACACAATCCACAATACAATTTATCTTATCTGCACCATTTTTAATAGATTCTAACACTTTCCTTCTAGTCAGAAATTTTGATCCATATCAGACTATCATGATATCTAGTTTGTTAGAGACACCTTATATGAATCATAGCTCTTACTTATTTGGAACCGGTTCGAATAGCAAAGTACATGTCTATGAAGATGTATGGCATCGACATCCGCAGCACCACAACCACCATCAGCATCTTCACTCTCTCTTGCTCCTTCTCCTCTCTCGGACACTTCCGATAAGATCGCTTTCAGCATTCAATAGAAAAATTAAACACAAACCAAACGGCAGACTTGATTGGAGGTTTGTTGCGGGATGGGCGACATTTATAGTATGCCGGGAACGATAAGAGAACCAGTTGCTGGAGAGAGAAAATGCTGTTGTTTTTTACGTTGGTTTATGGATGGCAGAAATGTCTGACATTATGCCGGCAAAAACAATTTCCAGCGAAATGAAATCGAACGGCATTGATTGCATGCCAATGTGGCTCCAAAGTTCTTGATCGACACCTGCAGCCAGACGACGACGACGACGTTCCAACTACGACTCAGACGGTGATGGAGACTGAGACTGAGACTGAGACCGGTGACCATTTATAGAGTAACTAGCGACTAGCAAGATGATCAACAGACGATCAACTTGCCATGCCAATGACGCAAAACACGCAATGGGCCAAGATTCTTCCCCGGCGGCTGCCAGTCCAGTCTAGTCCCGTCCAGTTCCCCGTGCTCGAAGCTTTCTCTAGAGTCAAGAGCAAGGAGGAGCCAGCGTTAATTATTATGGGCAGAGGAAGTGGAGACGACGTCGGCAGCGACTAATTGCACTGCGGCTGCAGTGACCATTGTGGAGTTGTGTCTCTCGACAGCGTCTAGCCGGCCGCCCAGAGACTCTCAACTCTTCCCTCTCAATGAATGGCATTGTCAGTGAATTATTTATTCGAGATTCCTTGTTTGCTTCCCTTTTTGCAGAACCGAAAAATGCAGCCGCTGGAACTCTGACACTTGATCTCTACCCCCTGACTTTGGCTGAGAAAGAATAACGAAACGACACACACACACACACTCAACATGCCCACCCGCCACAATTGGGATACGGAGCGTGTGGGCGTGGCCCATCTGGCTGGAGCTCTGAGTCCGCTTTGCATAACCGATGCCAATCATGAGATATTGCGGCCAAAGCCACGAAGGTGAGTCCCAATCCCATTGGAATCCGATACCCATTACTTAGTTTCTATATATATTATTATGCACCTAAGTATATACATATGTAAATATTTTTCTCTTTGAAAATTAGTGTGGCGGAAGAAAGAGGGGGATGAGAAATTTTTTTAGAGTAAGATTCTCCGGGTAAGCGAGATAGAGATGGTCGTCCAGAGGAGACTGCGAAACAGGAGGGTTGCAACATGATCCTATAGTCTATACTCTATACCATACATTAAATCCTTCTAGTTTATCAGAATCAACAATACCTAACTATCCTTCCACTTAAGTAGTCTACACAAATGTTCGAAAGCACCATCTATTGTTGCTTACGCAAACTCTAACCATCTTGTTACATTTCCACACTGGCGCCAGCAAGCGTGCAATTCTAGCAACATTTGGTCAGCTTTACGTCTTACACTACGAAATCGTTAGCGCTTCCCGGCCTGTTGGCTATTTCATGAACTTCGATGGCAATTTTATGATCTTTGGCGCCAGTTGGAAAAGTGGCGCCACATTGTCAAATACCAACAAATACCAAATGTTGTTATTTTACCAATTACAAAAAAGTCATCACTAGATCGGCGGTAACGGAGGGATTGAACATCCATGCTTCTCCATTTTTCCTATGGTTCTTAAATGCTTCACTTCTTCTATAATTGGTGTACAACTTCTTGGCCCAGTTTATGGGTGACATTGGAAATAAAATTACATTATTTTTGTCTAAACCTTTCAAGTGGCGTAAAGTCATGTACTTCTGTTTGAAACAAGACATTGTTTTCTCGGGAGCTTTTTAATGTTCTCCTTCCATGGGTGGTATTGTTATAAATTATTGCACATAAGTCCACGTCCAGGAATCGGGCTTCAGTGTCGCTGCTATCAAGCTGAATAGCCGAAGTATTTTCGATGTTTTGGGCTGGACCTGTATTTTCTGCATCTTCTTCTTTTTTCAGAATTTACAATTCATAATTTCACAATTTTGAACATCTTCGTCCTGTTGTGCCCTGTTTGTGGTGGCATGCATCTGATTGAATTGCATCTGACAATCAAAAAGTGGTCAATTGACGCAAAGGAATTCCGAACTCTAGGCAATCTTATAGACAACTAATACTTTCTTATTACGGATAAAATTATATATTCAGAACTGAGATTCTTAGCTTGATAGTCGCGGTAACAGAATATCAAAATCAGGGAGTTTGATTTTCATCGGTATTCATATAATATTCTATATATATATATGTATATATATACTATATATATAGTATAATTTGAATTATACCTAAACACTTCACATCCCATAAAGGATATTAAAGTACTTAGAAGAATTTCGTTGCATATGCATAAGCTCGTGTTCCCAAGTACCACTATGAGCTATGTGCGGCTAGATCTGTTCTAAGCAGCTCTGGCTGCTTTCTTATCGGGTTTCAAAGGTGTACCAGTGGACTCAAAAGGTTTTCCTCTCCAACCGCTCCGCCACCAACAATGGCAACTATTTTTGGACTTGGACACTTGCATGCATAATTGTTCACAAAGGCGTGAAGGAAGGCACAAGAGTCCAAGTCAGACGCCCCAAGTTTAACGGACAATAAACTTTTGTTCTGGGCGGACACTTCCAACTTCTGTTCGGAAGTGATACGAAAACACAAACAAAAAAAAAGAAAATACCAAGAGGTTGACGTAGGAGCGAGCTGGGTACGAATAGTGGACGCTAGACGATTTTCGGAAATCATAACGTATTGTTTGTGTGTGTTGTTTGTTGGCCAGATATCTTCTTGGTCTCTAGACCAAACGGGAACGATCTGTCTGCGATTCGTTTTCGCATTGTGAAGCCGGTCAAGGTTAATTTGGAAAATATTAGTGTCAGCACAGTCGGTGGGTTTTGGGCAAGGGAACGAGGGCGGGCGGGGGGAAGGAAGCCCTCAGGCAGAGAGAAGAAGATCACTCCGGATGTGTGCCACAGAAAGAAGATACTCGTAGAAGCACAAACTGGCTTTACGACGCCAGCCAGCAAAGGCAGAGATGAATAATTATAATTATTAAATGCGGGCCTGCCCCGGACCGACCGGGCCCAGTCAGACACGACTAATTCAATTAAAACGAAACTAGAGCTTGAGATACAAATAGAGATTGAAGCTCGAGTCGAGTGCTGGGGCTGAAGGTTTCTGCTAGGCTTTGCTCTTTTTCCTCGCAAAGTTCAAGCTCTATTGGGAAATCGCCAGGCAGTGGCAGTGGCAGTGGCAGTGGCAGCGGCAATAGCTGATTGAAATCACACCACGAACCGCCCCGCAGGAAACAGGGGAAACAAACTATGACTGGCATTTTGCGAAACTTTATTGTAGCTTCGTTTTTGTGAGTTGCTGGCAATTAAAAGTTTGAAATGCGAGTAACAACAAACAAATGACAGTTGGAAACAAATTTCACACAAACGAAAGTGAAAATGCAAAATGTGAATAATTAGCAGAGGGCCCACAATAAAGGGAATCAAATAATAATAGCTAACGAACTGGAATAGGAAAAATGTACGAAAAATTCGCCACAATTGCCAGACGAATTGTTGAACAGGTAGTGCTCCAGCTGCAGCAGCAACAACACAGCGACTTGAGGCTAACAAAGTCAATGACAATGGGAAGGAGCCCCTGCCCCCGCCCCTGCCCCTGCCCCCGCCCCTGCCCCTGTCTCGGCCAGCCATCTCTCTCGGGGCAACAAACCCGAGCCTCATGTATAGCCAGCCATCTTTATCGGTGTAGCATCTTCAGTTCGGTGTAATTTTGAACGCAGCATTAAAGAGAGTACAAGAAATAATGCGACGACGCGACGTGAGGCAAGTGAAAATGTTGTTACCTTTTTACCTTGCCCCAGCTCGGGCCGCGACTTTCTTTCACACAAACAGCCACAGATACAGATACTTTGATACACTCTTTAAAGCACAACCCACAACCCACGCCAACTAAATCTGTGAGATACTTTTTGGTGTTTTTCCAAATATCTGTACGAAGCTAACTTACAGGATCGGTTGTCCAAAAACCACAAAACGAAATGCAGTCAGAAACAGAAAACAGAAAACAGAAACCAGAAACCAGAAACCAGAAAACAAAAGCCAAAAAATGGAAAACTGAAAATCCGAGGCGCGAAAGTGTGGGAGATTTCAGAAGGGAGCTGGCAGCAGCTGTTGCCGAGCGAGGAATGACAGAGCACAGGCTGTTGATAGATCTGGATAGACGGACAGACTAATTAAGTCGTTGGAGATAGTGGCGCAGCAGCGATCATCAGACCCCAGTCGCCTTCCTCCTCTTCGTCTTTGAACGGAAGCAACGTCACAGCACAACCTCATCTTCTCCGGGCTGGCTGGGAGCATCTACAATTGATGTTGGGGATGTGGTTGAATGCGGCAATCTCGTTGAATGGCAGGCAGTCAGGTAGTCATAGTCGTAGTCGGGGACGCCGCGTATTAAACTCTAATCAGCAAGATGTGATGATATGATAGCGACACCAAGCACTCGGAATAGGTAACAATTTGTCAGAAGTTGGGGTTTCATAACAGTTACAGCCAATTGCCTTGTCACTGATGGTGTCGGGATACCAGTTCGCGCTGGTCATGGCTCTCATGGAGGAATTGCAGGTGAAGAGGTGATGTATGTACGATTTTCTTTGGCACTTGAAATGCAGTGAAGCTTTGCTTATAGGAGTCCTCGCAGAATCATGCTCTAAAATCACTTGCGGGAACTGCAGATAATTCAATTTAATTTGATGCATTTGATGCATCTTTTGATTCAGGTAGATTCGTGTAATCATATCCATAAGTTTTCATCAAACAATCATATGTTTCAGAAGAAAATGCGGTTCAGATTCCTATATTCAGGCTTCGATGACATTTTCTAACGTTCCCAGACTTAGACCATGACTCAGCTGACGAAGTGCTGCGCTTATGCAATCCATGCCAATAAAACGTGAACATTTCTTGCCTGGGGGAAGGGAAACTAAATTAGGAAAATTCGGTGAAGTCACCACGCATCTTAGCCAACAAGTTCTGCTCGCCTCGAGCTACGAAACTCAGCACAAATGTTGGGCTAACCTTGCAACAGGTTTCAATTCCATTTCCATCCCATAGTTCGCAGATATTTTTGCAAACCAAAGATTATTAATGATCTCACACTAATTGCTGGTTCTAACGATCTACAATCTAAATCTGAATACTGAAAACAAAAAAAACTAAATCCATTTCCCGTCTAACACTGACAGGGCATGAAAAACGAAAGTTCCTAGATCTTGATGAGCGTTTTAAACTACTCGAGCCCGAGCCCGAGCCCGGATCCCATTAGTTGTTTGACACACATAACCATATCTCGCATGGCCATTACTGCATCTCCAAGGTCCAGCGATATTTCTTCTCTTTATCCCCAGAAAATACTTGATCTTGCTGCTTATTCCGCCAGTTTTTCAACCATTTCTATTTTTGTTTTCCTTTGCGGCCGAGTTGTTGTATAAACACGCAAATATTACATTAAACTCTTTGGTCTACTCGTATACTTTTGTGGGTTTTCGTTTCGTTTTTTAATTTTTGGGAGGTCTTTTGTGTGAGTGTGGAGCTCGGCTTAATGGGTGTAAGCATATTTATGGCCTGTCATTACTTTTCCCGTAAATTAAACTTTTTAATGCAAAAATTGCTTAGAGCATAATTTTTTTAATAATCGACAGTGGAACACTTGAAGCCTGGCTGGCTGGCCTAGGAACAGCCGGCGGCTAGTGAAGAAAGTTATTGTATAATCGGAAAGGCAGAGAGATGGATTGAGGAACGCAGAGTTTCCCGTATTACGTGGGCGGATTTTTATATATTTGGTCTTTGTTTTTGTTGTTTTGGGCTATTCGGGTTTTTGGATCAAATGAACGTGGCTCTCTAATTGCTCTTGTGCTTCGCTTCGTGGTTGTGGTGAGGCGGCGGCTGCTTCCATTTATCCACTTCATTCTTCGTCTACAGAAACGAAGCTTCTGCATCTCTTGCCGAAAAGAATATGTTGGTGTCTGTATGGTAAGAAAAACAAAAGGCCAACCTCAAGAAGCCGTTATATTAGCGCATACTCGGAGGCCAGCATAAATCATTAGAGGCAGTTACGCTTGGCAATTTATTTGCTCCACACATGAAACGTATCTTGTAGATGTATCTCCAAGCCTACGCACGTCTGCCCATGCTCAGAACACACACGTCAGGCCGTGCTTTGCTCAGAATCTAACCATCTTGGGGCCGGGGCCTGGGCCTGGGCCTGGGAGACTGGAAGTCTGCAAGGAAGCAAGTTGGAAAAACTATCTGATAAGTGTCAAGATTGTATAACCTTCGAGCGCTGTGCGGTGCGGTGTGAGGTGATGTGGCTGAGGCCTCACTGTTGGCCTCACCAACAGTTATACATAATTAAATCCAGAGTCAGCACAACTATCAGAGATGAGAGTGACTCTGTCCAGTCACGTTATTGGAACGGAATTAGCCAGATGATGGTTAAAACCTCAGCTACAGATTGATATTTAAAATAAAAATACCCAAAAAAATACGAGCATTTGAATGCAATTAATTCTGCAACATATGTATTTGAACTTGGGCCTGTTATTACTGCTCTGATTTTTCGAAATACTTCTTTTATTATTGTCTATACTCAATGCAGAAAGAGAGGAAGAATATTTAGCCAGAGCTGATAATGTTCCTTTGACTATGGAAAATTATTTGAGTATCACTGCCAGCAGTGGCAGTGACTCTTTGTAAATCACTTTATCAATAGCAGCAACAAAGCAACAAAGCAAAAAAAACAAATGAGAAAAATGAAAAATCTCAGATACTTCTCGTACCTTGAGCCCTCAAATGACGGTACGGTACGAGTATGTCTGATCCATTGTTTTGGGCTCACAGCTGAGAAGCAACTGGTAAAATTACCCAAGCCAAAGACCCTATGTGCAAGGTGGCTCTGGTCTGCCTCTGGGGCCCCACAAGCCCAAAACGCGCTGTGAAAATGAGGAAAAACAGATACCTCTGCGCGTAGACAATGACGGGGCAGAGCAGAGCAGCGCCGAGAGCTCCAGCAGCTGTGGTGGCAGCACGGCTCTGGCTTTGAACCACCGCCGCCGCGGCTCAGGTGAGCTTGTGTTTCAGTCGAGCTTGATGTGCGCGAGCGAACGGTAATGCGGGTTCGAAATTTGGCGACTTTCGACCATTGGATTGTAGAAGCTTCGAATTCGGAGTTTCGGTCGCGGCTCGCTGAACGCGAGAGCAACGATAATTTATAATTTGCATAATTGTTGTTATTACTCGAGTGCGAGTAACAGAGAAAACAACACTGCGCAAGCAGCCTAAAGAAAATAGGGAATAGAAAAAGAAAAAGAAAAAGAAAAGGAAAGAAACGTGGGAATAGGAAGACGAAAAGGAATAAGTGTGTCCGTGTGTCAGTGTCAGTGTCAGTGTCCGTGTTCGTGTCGAAGTGAAATGAAACCAAACCAAATCTAAAATCCACAACAGCACCCAATAATGTATTGCACCAAAGATTGCTCCTGCAGCCTCTGCCGAGAGCTGCGAAACTACAAGATAGGATCCAAGAAGGCGCCCCCTCCCTTAGTGCCGCTTACGCCACAAAACTCCACATCCCTTCTGGGCAGGATGCTGAACGAAAACTTCATCCTGCGACGACGCGGCATTTCCCTCAAGAACTTCCAGCCGCAGTCGCTACGAAACAGCGAAATGTGTCAGCAGCAGCAAAAGCTGCCAGTGCCACGCCCTGGACAGACACCCTCGCCCACGCCCATCGAGGAGCTTCCCGACTGGGTGGAGGACACTAGCAGGACGCGGCCGGCCAATCACAAGGTGGTTATTTACTTTGGGGACTCCATCAATCGTAATACAGCGCAACCGCAACCGCAACCGCAAGACCAGACACAGCCACTACCGCACTCTCCAACTGCAGCAGCAGCATTCGTAGCTGCCTCACCATTGTTATCGCCCAAAGAACTGCACTCGCAGCTGCTCCAAGAGATGTCCCAGAAACTGAAGTCCAATGACAAAGCAGAGGAGGGGGAGCACAAGGTGGAGAAGGCCAGAACCGTGGAGCTGGAGCCGGTGGAGCGGAAGGAACGGGCGGATGATGAACTGCCGCCCTACATTGAGAGCGTGCAGAATGGCGTAATTAATATCAGAATTGAAGGCAATTACCGGCGAGCCAGTGCGCTGGTGGAAACGGTGGCAAAGCCAACTTTGGCCGTGGTTGGTCCAACGAAATCTGATGCTGTCGCTGCCACTGATGATGATGATGATGATGATGATGATGATGGTGGAGACGACGATGACCCTGGCCACGATGCAGAGACGGACTCGTGCGACTGGAGCTACGTTCAGGAGTGGCGACGAGCCGCGAGACGGTACTGGAAAACATTTAAAATTGTTCACCACTTTTTTGTTGCTTCGGTTCCATTTCCTTGTCAATTTCTAAGCTTTCTGCTGCAAATCTTTTGTGAAAGTTCTCTAGAAAAGGGACATTCAGGGAGAGTATTGATTGAGGTATCTCAATCCTAATTCCTAATTCCTAATCTCAATTAGGAAGGGGAAAGAAAAAAGGAAATGAGTCCGTTTCTGGGTGGGATAAATATAATAGAAATGGATTCCCAGAACACATCTAATGACTAATCCAAAATATTAATTTGAGAATTATCAATCGAAAACAAAATCTTTCCTAGAAAATCTAAACGGAAGGTCACTGCTCTAGAGTGAAGAGACTTGTCAAGTTTCCTTAGGAATGGGACCATGCCTATTTACACTTCCATCCGTATTCATATATCTTATTAAGCACAGAACATTGTCCAAGCCATTGAAGATTCGTCTGGATAGACAATGGAAGATGTGTCAAGCTACGGCGAAATACAAAATTTGGGTCAATCGGAGCTCAAGTTACAGCATAGTCCGCTCTGGGGTTGGGCGAAATGGCATCTTTCTGCTGTTTTCTCTAATCAGTGTTCTACAAAGAACACAGTCGTAAAAGAATGAAAAGATTTTGACAACGCTGACAGCTGACTTTTCGCATGCAAATGAAATATCGTAACTGGCTTTTAATATCGTTTTTGTTTATGCTGGTTTTTATTCCGGCGGAGCCCAGTTAGAAAATGATAATCATTTTGATGCAAAGAAATGTGATAATGAATCGTGGGACCAAGATAAACCCACGTTCGAATTGTTAACGAATCATTCTCTTTCATGTTTAACATTTACAGAAGATGTTTGTATTTATGATATCTCCTTCCCAGAATATATTCAGTATGTAGCTATACTAATTGTATATTTGCAGTCATCCCCGCTTTTAATCAGGAATGTTATGCCCTAATTAGAAATTATCGAATGCCCATCGAATTATTGACGTAATTTTGATAGTTTTATACCCGTTACTCAAAGAGTATAATATATTTGTGCGCTAAAGTGGTGAATTGATATTATTATTGATCAGTATCAATAGTCCGTCTGTTCGCCCGTCCGTCTTCTTTGTCAGCGAGTTCTCAAAGTTTTGCATCCAGACTGCTGTGATAACACGCTGATGATACAAGTGAATTTTTAGATTCCGACCCGATCCCTTCCGCCCCCACAAAGTGGGTTGATATGAGAATTGATGTAGATGACAGATGTAGTAAAAATATGTTTAATGCAAAATCATAAAAAAAGTATTATGATTGTATTATGTATGTACTTATATTATCCTGTGAATATTTATAATATTATAAATGTTATATGCTTTCAGACCTACTGGAAACGTGCCTAACAGTTTTGGACAGCACCCAGGGCCCAGTCAGATAACTGGGCTCCCTCCACCGCTGTTGCAGCCACCACAGCAGCAACAGCAGTTGACTGCGCTCTCTCCACAGGGACCCCACAGCGGTCTGGCAGTGTCGATGGCTACGCCAGGACCAAGGGTATTCAAAGAACTAGCTCAGCACCCTAACAAGGGAGGAGGGCACAAGTTGGGTGTACCGGGAAGTCTTTCCGTGAGCCAAGCCCATGTGCCTCTTCCCAGCCAGATGACCTCCCCCGTTAAAGCCACCAAGGCCCTTATTCCACAGAGAGCGGTGGCGGGTCCCGCTCGCCTCACAGTCCAGAGTACGCCCGTGAAGTCGCAGCCTCCGCAACTGAGTGGGAGTCTCAGCCAGACCTCGCCCAGCCGACCCACACTGGGTATACCAACAGCGACCGCGAACAGTGGGAATCTTCCGCCAGCCCGATCGCACCAGCACGATCAGTTCCGGGCACTGCAACGCGTACAGGAGTGCCAAAGCTCCTCGGACGAGAACCGCAGCTCGGGCCATGCCAGCATGTCGGACACTGGAGGCCACAGCTCCTCCCCGGCGGGAGGCATGACCCTGGGCCCTCTACCCGAGGATCGGCTGGCGGCTGGAGTGACCAATCGGAGCACCCGATCGCGACGCCATCGGGGTATACTGCCGGCGGGAAAAGCGCCCTGGAGCGGCACGGGCCTGGAGGACATCAAGCTGGCCATGCTCACACTCCGCTCCCAGACAAGCAGCAGCACGTACAGCAGCCTCAGTGCGGGATCGGAGAGCTCGGAACCCGCCAGGCGGCTGGGCCGCTACTCCTCCCTGGAGACGGTGATCACCAGCACGAGTGCCGACGAGTTCGTGTGGGTGGACTCGCACAACCGCCTCGTGGAGCTGCAGCATCCGCCGTGGAGCCAGCAGTGCATCATTCGGGTGCTGAGGGGCGGCCGCTGCAAGCAGCAGGCGGAGCACATGGCCGTGGAGGTCGTCTCGAGGTTGGGCTACCTGCTGCAGCGGGCTCTGGTGAGAATTGCGCGGGAGATCCAGCGCTTCTCGGCGGGACTGGGAATGTGCTCAAAGCAGGAGGTGGCTGGTGCCTTCCGCGTGGTGCTCTGCTCAACTCTGGCCGACTCCTGCACCAAGGCCTGCTTGCGGGCTGCCGCCATGTTCGCCGTGCCGGGCGAGAGTGCGCTGAAGCAGAGCAAGTCCTCGCGAGCAGGGCTCCAGTTGTCCGTCGGCCGCTTCTACCGCTGGATGACCGACGCTCGACTTGGCAAGTTTATCCACGAATATGCCGCCGTATATCTCTGTGCGGGGATCGAGAATCTGCTCGAGGAGATCATGCTGCAGTGCAGCAACGGCAGCACGGCGGCCGCCCTCGACCAAAGCATCGCCAGCTCTGGTGACGTTTGGGGTTTGCTGCAGCCGTTCGCCCATCTCAATGCGGGACGCATTGCCTCCGGTGCTCTGACCATGCCCTGCTGGGCCAGTTCCTCCTCCCTGGCCACCTGCGTGGGCAGCATCCGGGAGCTGAAGGAGAAGGCCCTACGTACCCAGCAGGAGTTTCAGCTGACCGCCGCCCTCTCGGGCTCCGCCCTGGCCGCGCTCTTCTACTTCATGCGCTGCTCTCAGCTGGAGCACACGGAGCTGCTGGCCGCCTCTGGATCCGGATCCGGATCTATATCGGGATCTGGCCAAGCCGCTCCAGTGTTACCCAATAACAGCCATCATGTCCAGGAGCTGTGCTATGAGCGGGCCTATGTGGTCCTCCCCCCACTGGCCGAATGGCTGAGGGTCGCCTCAGCCCATGCCGACCATCGCAGCGCTCTGATGATCGACAAGGATGATGTGATGCAAGCAGCCCGTCTCCTACTCCCGGGCGTCGACTGCCCCATCCGCCCCGTGGCCCACGACGAGGAGCTGCCCACCAAGAAGACGCACTTCAATGCGGGCTCCAGCAGCTCCACGGGAACGGGCACAGGAACAGGCAGCAGCAGCTCCAGTTCCCCGGTGGTCAGTGGAATTGGGATTGGGATTGGGATTGGCGAGGATACCTCAGAGCTGGGCAGGCGAGCCACCATTGGAGTGGCCTTCAAGGTGAGTCCGATACTCGTATGTATACCCATTGCAGCGCCTAACCCCTGCGGTATGTCTGTCTGTCTCCTTGCAGCTGCTTTTGACTGGCCGAGCTGAGCTGCTGGCTCAGGCTGCCCAACTGCTGCCGCCCACAACCCGCTACGACACACAGAACAGCGCTGGCCTGAGTGCCCTTATGGTTGCCAGCATCCGTAACGACGAGGTGGCCCTGCACGCGCTCCTGGACGCTGGCTGCGATCCCAATGTGGAGGTCCCGCCCGTCGGCAGCGCTGGCTATCCAGCCATACTGCCGGACACGCAGCACTGGACGGCACTGAGCTTTGCTGCCAGTCGGGCCAATTACGTGGCCTTGAGGATTCTGCTGGAGCGGGGCAGCAAGGTCGAAGGCGGGGCTCGCAACAGCGAGGAAAAGTGTACCCTGACGCCGTTGCAGTTGGCCGCGGGCACGGGCAACCTAGAGATCGTGGCCCTCCTGCTGGCACATGGGGCGAACGCCTTCCTCTCCACCCAGCAGAAGGACTCACTCTGCTTTGCAGGATCGGCGCAGAAGGGTTGCTTCTGTGCCATCTCCGTCGCCGCAGCCCATGGCCATCGTTCGTGCCTGCGCAAGCTGCTCACCCATCCCGTGCTGCCTGGCACTCGGGATGTCCTCTCGCTGGAGGAAATGCTGGCCGAGGGCGATGTGGCTGGCGTAAGAGGCGGTCCCGGCAATGTCCCCCCCAATGCCAATAGCGAGGACATTCTACCATTGCTCAACAAGACGCAGATCAAGCGACTCCAGGAGGCCATGTACCACAGTGCCGAAAACAACCATCTGGGTGAGTGAATAGTCCATAAAATACAAAAAAAGTCGTAGTTTACACTTTAGTTTTTCTCAAATGAGACCCACATGAATCTCCCTGGAGTACTTATTTAAATTGAATTTCAAACTGTTGACATTGCTCGCAGTTAATTCGCTGAGCTCGTTTCAATGTTATTCAATATTCAAACCGGATAAGGCGAAAAACCTTTGAAAGTGATTTGTTTACAAGCTATTTTTATATTTTACTGTTGCAAGATTCATTGTTGATTGAATTAAAGGAGAACTCGTGCTTCATTGAAGGCGATTTGAAAGCCTCAAATGAAGAATATTCTTAAATTCGATGTGATTTATTCATATGTCAACTTACGTCACTTCCATGGCTTTTTTTAGACATAACCATAGAGCTTCGCAAACTGGGCGTGCCTTGGACTCTCCACTGCTGGATGCATGCCCTGTCCGCTGCACACGAGCTGCGGCTGGATGCTGTGATCGACCAACTGCTGCAGGACTTCCTCCAGGTATGCCCGGACGACTACAGCGCTCAGTTCGTGAGCGAGTGCCTGCCGCTGCTGTTCAACATATTCCGAAACAAGAATGAGGGCACTACCCTGCTGCTGGCGGACATATTTGCCACCTGCTTTGGCTGGGAGACGCTCCATCCGGTGAAGGAGCAGCCGCAGATGCAACCAGTCCAGGGCTCCCGCATAGATCCCAAATTTGTGAACAACCCGGAGCTGAGCGATGTCACATTTAGGTGAGATCTAGGAGTCAATTACAATTAGTCCACTGTGGTCTGTAATACTTTTCTTTGTCCTTTCAGGGTGGAGGGCAAGATCTTCTATGGGCACAAGATTGTCTTGGTCACAGCTTCGCCGCGCTTCCAGAGCATGCTTAGCTCCAAATTGAGCGACGCCAGTTCCACGCCCACGGTCCAGATCAACGATATTCGATATCACATCTTCCAGCTGGTCATGCAGTTCCTCTACAGTGGTGGATGCGGCTCTTTAGACGCCTCCCATGGAGACGTCCTCGAGCTAATGGCGGCAGCCAGTTTCTTCCAGCTGGAGGGCCTGCTCCGATACACTGAGGCTCGCTGCTCCGAAATGGTTGATGTGGACAATGTGGTGGCCATGTACATCCATGCTAAGGTACGCCAGCACATAGACTACGTCAGCACTTAAGACTTCAGAGAATCACAATAATGTCCAATCGACAGGTCTACAATGCCCATCGTTTGCTGGAGTACTGTCAGTGCTTCCTGCTTCAGAATATGGTGGCTCTACTTACCTACGATGACTCCGTGAAGCGGCTGCTGTTTGCCAAGAAGATACCCAATCATGACGTCCTCGCTGGCCTTCTGCAGACCCTGCAAAATCGCCTTAAGACCCGCAAACCCAATTCTGGTGGTGGCCTGGTCAACTCCTATCGATCGCCCCCGGCCACGCCCGTCAAGAAGTAACCCCCCAAGTTGCCCCATGACATAATCCAATTCGTATTTATTGCATTGTTTTTAATTTAATCTTTGAGCTTTTATGTATTATAATAATTCCCAGCCGGATCCAGATCCTCTTCTGCAAGACTATATCCTAGTTGTATTTTTTTGTATTCTCAATTTGTTCAGCGCACTGTTAACTTATACGAACCCCCGGATCGCCAAGGAGCCGATCCTCTAGCATTATTTTGTAGTTGAAATTGTTTCTGCATTAAATGAAGAACGTAACCTCTTACTCTAAGTTCTTTCATTAACGGGAATCGCTCTGGGGGCGATGAACTTTCCTTTCATTATTATAATTTTTTTTTTATTCACTGCTAAGGCTTTCTGCTCTGATGATTACAATCGTATATGGGTTAGGAGGCAAATCTTAATTGTAAGTACACGGATATGTACTGATAACGTCAGGCCCTTGTTGAATTGATGTCCAAAATGATGCATCGACAATAACCCACAGAGAAAAACTGGTTTGAGGATCGATAATGCACTTATGGCCCTGAGAAGAGTACCCCTTTTCTTCTATAAGTTATTATATTATCTATGGTAACCTTGAGATATGTCTAAGCCTACAAGAACCAATCATACTAATCAATAAAACAAAACTCAAAGTTTGTTTTAATTTTGATCGGATTTTTATTAGACCTTTGGGGGCTTGGCGTACTCCAGATCGGGCTGGGCCACCACCAGCTGGCTGACCTGTTTGGCGGCCACTGAAATCTGCGGCAATATGGCACCACCCTCGGGCACGAAGCCATGGTCGTCGGCCTTGTAGGTGACAGTAACTTCCTGTCCATTGGCATCAAAGTAGGAGTAGGAGCCGCTTATCTCGAGGTACTCGTTGTCCGAGCCCGGATTCCTCAGCACAGCTTCCTCTTTGCGGTGGGTGCCGTCTTCGGAGAGGTAGGAGAAGTTGTAGGAGCCATCCTCGTGCTTTTCATTCGACGACTCCAAAATTGCCACGGGAGGCTGGGTGGTGGAAGTAACATGATCCACAGGAGCAGCCAAAATAACAGCCACCAGACAGAGCGCCAACGTAATGATGAGCTGTGGGGAGGTCATCAGATGAGGTAATCCTTGTAAATAAATATCTTTGGGGCGATACTTACGATCTTGAACATGTTGCTGTCTGTATGTGAAGCTGATCTGGATTTGAGTCGTGTCCAGCCCAGACGCCTCTTTATATTGCCAAAAACCGGCGATGCCCTGCTTACCGGTTATTGACCAATGCATACTGGTACTCGTACTCGTACAATATGAATTTGCAAACATTTACTTGAAACCCGTTTTAAGAATTAATTAAAGATGAGACCCAGACCCATCTCCCATCTCCCATCACCCATCTCCAATCTCCCATCCCACATTGCAGTTCCCCTTCCGATTCCGATCCTAAACACTCATTTCAGCTGCAATTTGAGGCTCTATATTAATTCTCGATTTGGGTACAGGCTGACATGGTTCTTCTCTCTGGCATTCCATGCACTTGTTTATCCCACACTCGACTTCATGTATACAAGTTGTGGTCCATGCCGATGATCATCATAGGGGATGTCGGTTGGTGGGACCACTCTAATCTCTGCACTTTCGGCTCAGTCGGATTTTTATTTCAATCTTTTTGATTTTAGACCTTATACAGAGCGGATTTTTCTCGAACATATCGGAGATTTGGTTTTTCCATCCGCAATTGTTTACAAGAAAACTATAAACAAAGCAAACACATAGCGTCCCTCCTGCTCGGTATTGGTCTTTCACCCTCGGTCCGGATACGTTTTGTGCCCCCATTGATGTTATTTTTGGCCACTGGGCATGAGGCAGCACTAAAATCTCCAGCCTCCTTCCATATAGTATTTGTTCTATATAGCCACATAGCTACATATCGACGAGAGCAGAGGCCGGAGTAGTAGCAGCAGCAGCAGCAGCAGCAGCAGCCGGTCAGATGAAAACGTTGCCGGCATATGGGAGGTGGATAGGGCGTGGCAGTGGCAGTTTGAGGAATGGAGGGCCAGCTACAAAATACTTAAAGGTGCCACATACGCATCGTTCGATTTTGGATACGGTTTCTTGGCATTTTGTTTATGCAACAATAAATTGTACATTTGATTATCGTTTCATTCGAAATGCTACAGAAATACCGAAGAATGCCCCGATTCGGATCTGATTTTATTCCGTCGAGGCGGTGCGCTGCTCGAGGGTGAAACAATTTGCTCGATTTCACGGTATAGTGAATACCGGCAATATCTGGAAAGTTTTTGGTATCAGATTTGCATACATATTTCTTGGTTCTGGCTGTGAAATAATTAATTATTAATCGAGCACAAAGAATTCCGAGCACATTTGGAGCAATTGAAATATTCGAATACGTACAATACTCGTACAGATGAATGTATCCAGAATTAGTTTGGATTTGATTTTTTTCGATCGAAAATTTAGCTCACAGAAGTCGTAACATTTGGAAATTTTTGGAATTCAAGTGTCGGCACAATCGAATCTTTGTGTCTGTCCTATACCGTAGGAAATTGCTAATAAATATACAATGTACATAATCACTGGTTTGGGATTAATTTAGGGAAGGTTTGCATTTGTGATGGATATCCTTATGCTATATTCATACTTCTTTGACTGAATCAACTACGTATCTATAATGTGGCAGGAAATGGTATAATATTAAGTCTTACGTGTTTTAAGGATTCTCTTAGAAAATGTGGACAAAATATATGACATATGTATATATACAAATCTTGGGAGAATTGTGCTTTATTCCTCGCTGTTTGTCGGCAATCTCTCTTCTCTGTGCGCGAGTGGACACACTCGAATAAATGAAAGGGAAAATTGTGAAAAGTTGATGATAATGTTTGTAAATTGGCCGCAAAATCATTCGAATGCATCGTTGAAGCTGTTGACTTTGATTGGCAAGATAAAATATGCCCCCGGGGGAACTTTGTAAAGATAGATATGATGGGGAATGTACTCACCTATGTGGTTGTCTTCATTGAGTTAGTTGTCTGTTGGATAAACTCACAGTAAATACGCCTTTTTCCCTTTCCTGTCGTTGATCAAATAAAACGCCAGTAAGCGGAAAAAGACAAATCGACTAGAATTTAGATCTTTGTATATTTTTCTTTGTTCAAGTATGTATACTGTACATATATTTAGCTGCGAAAACCTTGGACGGTTCTGAACACATGGCACAATAAGGAGGTCGGCTCTTCTGATTCAGCGTGTTAAGAAATTGAATTAATTTAATTTGCTTCGATTGATTTATGGACCAATCGGTGCTCTGGAAAACTGTGCCAAGAGGCTGCTGCTGCTGCTGATCATCGCTGCCGTCTAATGATCGAGGGTCTATATTCTACATATGTATATGCACATGCCATACGAAAATAGTTTTATTTTTATAACTGTGTGCTGGTTTGGTTTCTTTTTTTATGGACTTCCCCCACATACGCGATGGGACGGACGCTGACGGACAGACGAACTCAGGATGATGCCGATGCCGATGCCGATGCCAATGCTGATGCTGATGGCATCCGCCAATGCACACAGCTGTCTGCCCATGCCAAATGTACCAACGAGTTTGCTTCTTTCTGTACGCTTCTCTATAGATTCGAGTGTGAGTTTAGTCGTATGTATTTATAAAGATATCTAAGCAAGGAAGTTCTAAACCACCGAGGACAGAAATGAGATGCCTATTAAAGAGCGATTTGTTTCATGAGGATAGCAATTAAGAACAGCATCCATCCTCTCCGAAACAAATCTCAAGACAAAGGCCGCGAAAGTGTGGGAACATTCGCAATGAAATGCATGGCCAAGGATGGTGCCTGTTGGCTGGCAGGGGTGGAGCTTGGGCAGCCGATGGCTTCGATGGCCTGGTACGGTATAGGTACGGGATACCATAGTATGCGGTATGGTGTGGTGCTGGCGATGGAATAAACAAAAATGACGACTTGCCAAGTGAAATTGGCAATGCGAAAAGCGCAAAAACTTTCGTCAGTTGCCAGCAGAAAGAAAAAGAAAAAACCAAGCACACACACACAAATGTACAACGTGAGTGGGAGAGAGACTGTCAAAGAGACGGACGTCTACTTGCCTATATGGCTGTGTATAGGATAAATAAATAAAACTGAAAATTATGAAAAACAGGCAGCCGCAAGAGCATCAGCAATAATAGCGTTCGCCAAAGGCACGAGTGGATTTTTGGATTTTTAAATATTTTTAGCCGAAAGCCAAAAACCGAATATTTTGCCAGTCGAGTGGGATATTGGAAAGATGAAAAATTATTAATGCTATGCGTGCGTGTGTTTGGTTGTGTGTGTGTGTGTGTGTGTGTGTGTGTGTGTGTGTGTGTGTGTGTGTGTGTGTGTGTGTTTGTGTGTATGTGGGGGAGTGTGGGCTGACTTGGCAACAGTTGGAAAATGTACGCCCACTTCCGCCAACTGATCCTGTTCCTGTTTGCTGTTCCTATTCCTGTTCGTGTCACTTTCCCTATTCCAGAGCTACACTTTAAATATAACTTAGAATGTAGATTAAATTCAAATTGATTCTTGTTAATAATTCGTTTTTAAACTAATGAAAATATGTGTGCAGGTGTATTGATCTTTGATTTTATTCTCTTTTTCCGAGCGAGTGGATGTACATATAGTGAATAGCAAACCGTACAGGCTGACGCCTCGCGACGCACTGCACCTACGCTCCAAAATTTTGAAAACTCAAAGACATTTCGAAAATTCTATTCTATTCCGAAAGAAATGGGCGTGTGAGCGAGTCAAATGGAAACAGAGAGAGAGAGAGAGAGAGAGAGTGTAAGTGAGAGAGGCGCGGCTGGGGGGAGGATAAATATACATAGATAGAGAGGGGGCGCCATTTAGAGAGTGAGGTGGAGGGAGAACGAGATGTATACCTCAAGTGCAGGGAAAGCACACACGATATGAGCGAAGGAGCCAGGCAATTTATGTTTTGCTCAGTGGCAGCAGATGGGCGGCCGCAAGAGCCCCACAACTCGTCATAGTGCTGCAGCACGTCCCCATACAAACACCCACGCCACCCTCTGGCATCGAAAAATGTTTTCTAAAATCAGACAAAACAAAAAAAAAAAAAACAAAAAAGGGGGAGAGAATTAATTGCATGGAGAATGGAAGGAGGAGGATCGATGAGTGCAGTTCAGCATCAAAATTCAAGCGGTTTTTCGCACTCGAGTGATTTGAGCAGAGGAAGTTCTATAGCCGTAATTCAACAATCGGTTGCTTCGTCTAAACATGCCTGCGGCCACACCCAGTCATCTAGTCAGCATCCAGTCAGCAACACTCTCCATACGATACGATTTCCATTCCCGATCCCACTCGGAGCCTGGGTCTTAGTCAGCCGGTGTACGAATACGAATACGAATACGAATACGAGTACGAGTATCTATCAGTTTGCGAGTGAAAATAAACAAATCAGAGAGGGGAAAATGCGGACTAGAAAAAGATGAAAACTCGCTTCGAATATGACCATTTTTATTCTCTAAACATTTCTGCATGTTTATGTTCTGAGATGTTCTTTCTTCCTTCTGTTTTCCACCGCCTTCCTCCATTTTGGGGCAAAACTCCATGATGTTTCGGGTGCTCGGGATGCAGCTCAAGTGCTGTGCCAGTTGGAACACAAATTATAATAAGATTCTAAAACGCTTAGTTAGGACTCGCTTACTGCGCCCCATTCCTCCTTCATAGCAGTCCGCTTCCGTTCGGTCCATTTCCATTTACCTTTCTTTCACATTGTAAACATTTCACTTGACGCTCGGTTCTATTTTAAACACTTTTGGCCTGTGGAAAAACAGGCAATTAAGTAAAAAAAAACGAAAATTAGAAAGAGCTAATATGACTTTATTAATGTAAAAGATCACGAAAATTAATGAAAAATGTATTGGAATACATATGTATGTACGCTGCCTACTTTCTTGTGTGTTTCTCTTTGAGTAAGGAAAAATAGTTTAAAAACAATCCTAAATGTCCTTGTAATATGTCAGGTCAGAACAGCTTGAAATTTATATATGTAAATATCTTTACCTGTTTAATTAAAACAAATTTGAAATGGACTTTGTTGAGGATCATGTGGAGTCAGCGGTGCCCACAATTGAGACTGCCATCGACACAATTTTCACCCGCCTTAAGATCATCGCCGTGGATGTGGAGAAGGTGCTGCGGGCCAAGGAGTTGATGGCCAGCCTTCAGCGTCGCAACACGTTCTTCTACCTGCTGGGCCAGGACGATGATGGCAGCATCGAGAATAACCACAGCGAAATGAGGCTGCTCACCTCCAAGAACTCGTTTCCGTCTATATTGAGCGCGGATGACGATTTCGATGGCGAGGAGCTGAGCGAGGATCAGTGCGGTGACTGGCAGCTCCAAGAGGAAAATCGCTGGCATAGCTACTTCTCCGGCTTCCAAGAACTCACCACGCGCCATGGCGCAGACCCCAACGATAATCGCAAATGCGTCCAGCTGTCTGCCATGCTTGGTTGCGATCAGGAAATCAAGACCTTACTCCGTGAGTACCCTGGAGGGAGCCTTTGATGAATGAATGAATGAATGATGAATTTGATTCTGTTCTTAGGTAATGGCGTCCGGTGCTTTCTTCTGGATCTCTTCGCGGGGAGCCAGCGCGACAATCAGTCGCTGATCGTGCAACTGCGCGAGGCAGAGATCAGCGTGTCCAAGGAGTACGGCTTTCCTGTAGTCTCCACAATTTTCGTGAAGCTCTCACCACGCTTTCAGTACACTGGCTACCTCAACCCACAACACTACAAGGGTGACCTCAAGCGCGTGGAGCTGAAGAAAGGGTGCAACCTGACAGTGACTGTCGACCGAGAGTTCTCCGACAGCAGTTCGTCGTCGATAATATATGTGAACGCCCGCTTCCTGCTGGGCGATGTCACGACCTTTGACTTCATCCTCATCGGCAACGAGATTCAGTTGACGGTGCACAGCGTGCATCCAGATCATCTCAACTGCTGTGTTGTCCGTGGTGGAATTCTTAGCTCATACATGCCCGTTTTGTTTCCAAAACGCTGCTCCAAGTTTCGGATTTCCTACGAGGAGCTGGAGGATCTGACATTCGCCCGCGAGGTGGGAGTCAATGTGGTAGTTTCCAACATCGTTGGCACCGCCAAGTACCTCGATAATCTGGAGAAGGCCATGGGTATAATGCAGTGCGAGAATCTTCGTATATATGCCAGGGTGGTGCTTAACGATATAAAGGGTTGCGATGGTGAACTGAACTGGGCCACCAGGCGGTACGATGGCTTCCTTGTGGAACTCGCAGAGCCAGAAGTAGTTCCCGATGTCATGCACCTGTGCCCCGATGCCGAGTGCTTCTTACAGTTGGTCCACGCGGCCAAGAAGCCGATCATCTTCGATCCCGAGATGATTCACGAGAAGAAGCTTCGAATTGACCCCACCCACTACTATTACACATTTTACTACCCGGACAAGTACCTGGTGAAAAGCCACAAGACAAAACAGTCATTCTACTTCAGCTTTCTGCAGAACGCCCTCTTCGAGAAAATACCGACCGAAGCGTTATCAAAGGTGCCCTACTGCGACAACTCGCATACTGGCGCTGACGGCTTGGCCCGGGCCGTGGTCACCGCAGCCATGGAGGTGCATGCCGCTGCAATTGTTGTTATCGGCGTGACAGCGCGCATGGTGCAGAAGATTTCACACTTCCGGCCAGAGGCGCCCATCATCTTTGTCAGCCACATGCGCTCTGCGGAGGACTATGTGTCGCTATATTACAACGTGACCATGCTCTCGTTCCGCACCAAACAATTCCATACGCATCGTCAAAACATATTCCGCAAGGGCGTTTACGCCTTGGCCTATTTGGCCAAACGTAAGATTGTCCGCCAGCATGACTATGTGATCTTGGTTTACAGCCACAAAGAAGGGACCACCTTTCCCGAGAAGTATATTCTCTATAAATTTGATAAATCTCATTTTGCCGAGCATATGTCCGCCATCATGTTCCCCAATCAGCAAGATCAGCAAGAATCCACTGAGGATGCGGATTCGAACAACTAAGAGCATTTAGATATAGTATATAATTTATATGTTTTGGTAAATAATCGGAATGTGTTGAGGTGTGTTTTGCTTAGAATATATGAAACAGATATAGATAGATACACTTTTGCTACACTGATCGTCGATCGGCGACCATCCGTCCACACACACACACGTCTACTGTACATCAATATGTATATATGTACATAAATAACATTCGTAAGCCTACTAGGGGTATTTGCACAAGGTTCGTCCAAGAAGTACACATATGTATTCAGATAACATAGGCACTGAAATCGTACAGCTATCAATGCCCGCTTAAAACTGTCTTATTGTATGCATCAAAGCTTAGCCTCGCCTGAGACTCAGTGCGTACTTTGCAGAGCCTTTAGTGTCACATGCTCGTAGGCAGCCTTTAGAGTAGTGTAGCAATAGCCCGCCAAGCCATTCATTTCGGCCTGGAAGTTCGGCCCACCCGTCAGGTCGTCCAGCAGGGCTAGCTCCGCGCCCAAATGGGGTACAGCTGCACGCAGCATAGTGAGCATTGTGAGCGGTATCATGTTGTCCGCATTCAGCTGGGAGGCATTGGCTGCAAGAGTAATCAATGGGTATTAATAATCAAACCGACGGGATGCGATTTAGCTAAGATGCTCACCAGACATCGCATGCTCGTACGCCTCTGTTAGCAGTTGCGTGCTACGCTGTATCACAGTCAACATGTCCTGGGGACTGAACTTCTCCTGAAGTTGTTTCAAGGTCTGCACAGACTCCTCAAACTTGGGGTCCAGCATCACAGTGTGAAGGAAACTGAAATGTGAATGAATGTGTGAATTTATGTATCTACATAGGGAAGTTCCTTACGTTCGCACCTCTCATGACCCATCAGAGTGACAAGTTCTTGGTCGTTTAGCTTCTCGGCATGGTTTAGGTTTAGCCTGTACATCTCATCCTTGCGGCTGTATTTGTTGGCATACAGCACAAATAGGGTTGAGTAAATGCCTTCCGATAGCACCAGCGGATACAGCAGAGTAATGTGGGAAATCACCTCCCTGCTTCCCTCCAAGTGGCAATAGTCCTCTGGCAGGGCTGGAAACATTTTTCGCACAAAGCGGTAGATGCGTCGGGAGATGGACTCCCATTCGCGCATGGCCTGCTTGGCCAGGATCGGTGTGGGTTTGACCTTCCAATATCCATAGGAGTAGTGGAAACAGTTGGCAATCCGTTCGTTCAAGGCGTGCAGCGGATGGTGGCGATCCTTGAAGGCTTGCTCCAAGTACACACGAATGGATGTGACATCCAGCTCGTTTAGCGTAGAAGCCATGCCAAAACTGGGCACCTGATCCAGTATGGCATTCGACGAGGAGCTGGTAGAGGCTATGGAGCAATCGCTACCGTTGCTGGTATGCTTGGAAACATTTTTGTTGTTGTTGTTGCTGTTGTTGTTGTTGCTGTGGTTCATGCTACCGAAGCTTTCGCTGAGCGGACTAGACTCGCAGCCCTCCCCATTGAAGCATCCGTTCAGAACACTTCGATCCAGCTGAAAGCTAGCCAAGCTACTTGAGTCCAAGTCCTTCGTGGAGTTATGGCCCATCGAGAGCAGGCTGTCAGCTCGCTGCAGACCTCCATGCTTGCTGTTCAGCGCTTCCTGCGAGTGAATGCGGCGAGGCGGAAACCCGAGAAAATCCAGTGCCGAAGCAGCCTCCGCATGTAGCTTGGTCAAGGCTGTCGTTGTTGTCCTGGCCTTGGCCACTGGGGATGGCGACTTCTGGGGCAGCGGCAAACTGAGCAAAATATTATTGAAATAGTTTCCCGGCTTGGACCCTTCCCTTGCCCGCTGCTTGCTCATGTACACTGCTATACAGTTCCAAAGCTGGGCCGTGCTAAGCGAGGGTTTTGCTGGTTTCTTGAGTGTGCTGCCAGGCACAGGGGCCAGGGTGGATCCAGAGCTTGTGCTGGACGTGCAACTAGCCAGATCCGATTCAAAGTTCTGGAACAACGAACGCCACTTTCGATTGTGATCCACGACTTGTCGGCCCAGTGAACTAAGATACGAAGCGAGTTTTACAAAAGATGGAAATGCCTTAAAAGGGGATCCAAAGGCTCAAGGACTCACCTGGGGTACTTGGGAAAACGTCGGTTCAGCACAAGTTCTCCAGCTTGCACGCGCACCGTCTCCCAGCTGCCGCTGAGCTGGCCGAACATCTTGTTGCCAATAAGCTCGTAGTTGTCGTCGTTCTCCTCGCTGGACCCTGATGCCCGCCCAACGCACTCATCTCCGCTGGGCATGTAGTACTCTCCCCGGCCATTGGGTCCGTGTAGTGACAGCTCACCCTCGTAGTAGTAGTCGTTCTCGAAGATCGCCACGCCACTGCCCACTAGATCGTCGCCGGCAAAGCTGCCCTCGAAGTAATCGCCTTTATTGGTGATGCAACTCCCGATACCCACCCGCTTGTTGTCCGCAAACATGCCCATGTACTTATCCCCGCTGATCAGGTCCTCCATGACGCCATAGCCACTGCGGGTGTTGGCCTGGTACTCGCCCACGTAGAGGTAGCGGTTGTTCCGCATCATCCCATGCCCGTGAAAGAGTCCCTCGCAGAAATTGCCCTCGTAGACCTCGCTCTCGTGCGAGTCCTTGCAGTGGATCTCGTAGTGGCCATGGCCGTGGAAACGGCTTCCCTTAAAGTGGCCAACATAGAGACCCGTCGAGGGAATCACCATTTTGCCGTATCCTGCAGACAAAGTGAGGGGTGGCTATGGAGTACACATAAGAATGCCTTAAACACTCACCTTCGATTACTCCCTGGCAGACTTCGCCGCAGTATACAGTGCCATCTGGATACTCCAGGTAGCAGTTGCCATGAAGGACGCCCTTCCTCCAAGTGCCACACGCCTGCACTCTGGCGTACTTCGGATGCTCGCGACTGTACTCGTAGCCTGTGGAGCGAGAACTGGGCACGGGACTGCCCAAAGGTCGCCCCAAAGCTGCCACAATGCTCGACTGCAGCTGATCTAGCCAGACCTTGCGCATCTCCTGGGAACGCGTGATCACAAGAAAGCTCTTCTCGGGCGTGACCAGCCTCAGGCCAGACTCACCCTCTGACCAGACCCACAACGTGGTCAGCGGATAGCAGTGCAGCGAGCTTCCTCCCAACTGGCAGAGAAAGTCAGAGAAGAGGATGAAGCTGTTGCTGGTCATGCTGAGGCCCGTGTTTGCCAATTTGAGGGGAACCAGAGCGGACGTTAGGATGACCCGTCGCTGGCTCCGTCTGAACTGCAAAATGCGTGGGTTGCGATCGTTGCTGTTCCAGAAATCTTTGGTATTCACAGCCAGCTCCTGGCTAATGCAACTATGCCGCGCGAACTCCGTCCAGGCCAGGCGATGCTCGTTGTACTCGGACTGCGTCTTTATCAGAAGCTCCATGAATTGATTGAACAGTTGGTATATGCTGAATGGTTGCTGGAACAGGCGCGTCACATAGCTTTCCTCGTTGAGCTCCGCAAGGGGACTGCTGAGGCCTGCAATAGAGGCCACCGCTTCGACGAATCCGTTCACCGAGTACACGTCGCAGTAGGCCCTGGTGTAGCCCTCGAAGAGCTCTATGTATTCCTTATGGTAGCAGATGAAGAGCAGATCGGCAGGCTGGACAAAGTCAGCCCGGTAGAATCCCTCCAAAGAGTGTAGCGTGACCACCAACAGACAGAGCATCCGCTCCCAGTTGACCAGCAGCGGGCCAAGAGCACTAAGAGCCTCCAGCGAGGATTGCTGCTGCCAGATTTGTAGAGTTTGGACGGCCTGGCGGTGCTTCAGGAGAAGCTGGAGCTGCGACTGGAGGTGACTTAGATAGTAATGGTAGTGACGCTGGAACTGGCGTTGATTATGCAGAGTATACCCACCGGAGCACATCAGGAGACGCAACTGGTGTGGCCAGGCCGCTCCCAGCTGCAGCTGGAGTAGGGTTTGGGCGTAGGTGCTCGACTGCTGCAGGTGTCGCATTGGAGGAGGCGGTTGAAGCGCCTGTATTTGTCCAGATGCATTTAACAGCAAAGTGTGGTAATCGCCACATGTGGCCTCCAGAGCAGAGTTTTGTTCCATGGGTAACGCAGTTGCCTGATCCCCTATGGTAATTTCCTTCGGGGCGCTCAAATCCTCGCCCAACTGAGCGTGGGTGTTCAGACCCCAGTGATAGAGCCTGCCATCTAGGGTGCGGGCAACCGTGTGCTCCAGCCCCGCCGCTATGCTGCACACACCCATGCTGTCCAGTTTCTGCAGCCTGGCGACATTGGCTCGTCGAATGTGGTCCCCCGTCCCGAGCAGTCCGTTATTGGATGCTCCGAATGTGAAGAGCTGGGTGTGCAGCAGGGCATATCCCTGGTGAAGCAAGTGCCTCGTGTTTGCGGCAATGCTGCGCACAGAGTTTCCGCTGCTCAGCGATTTGACGGAGGCGCTATCGTCTTCGGGATCCTCCTTGTTTGCAGCCGGCAGCTGTAGCACATCATCTGCCAGGTTTTGAGGGGCCACCAGCATCACAAAATGCTCATTTCCCGCCGACAAATCCAGCAGCTCCTTTCCCTCTTCATAGAGTCGCATGTGGCGAGGCTGCAGCTCCGCCGTGAAGACGTCTCCGCAACTGCCCATCACATAGGTCTCGCCGCTGGCGCTCACAAAGACGACGCCCTGGGCAGAGCAGCAGACGCGACGTATTCTGACGCCTTCGTCGAGAATCTCCAAGGGGTCGAAGCTAAGCGTCTGCCAGGCATGCGGGTGGTGCAGGTCTCTGTCCAGCCCGAGACTAGTGATGAGTTGGCGCTGTACGGAACCATTGGTGAGCACCACGAACAGCTCCTGGCTGCCGCTGCAGTAGTCCACATCGACAGCATCCGTACGTATAAGCATCAGATCCAGCGTGCTCCGGTTTGACTGCAACTGCCCCGCGTAGAGGGATTGGTCTGTTGTCAACAGGAGAACACCGCCGCGGTCAGCACCGCCTATTCGACAGATCCGCAATGCGGGCGGTCGTGCCAATGGCGGCACTCCCTTCCAGTGCAGTTGCAGAGCCTTGCCATCGTGATAGATAACGAAGGATTCGTCATCGCCAGGGCTCACAGCTACCTTGTCAATGACCGCACTGCACATAGCACTCGTCGCTTTTGTTGTTGCTGGATTTGGCCAAGGCCAAAGTTTTGTAACACGACGCAATTGCACGAAACGGTTGAAAGCTATTTACACATGCCTTACGCGCATTGGGATTTGCTATGCACTCAGTGCATGGCTGTCAAACATTCTACGCTCTTAATTCCGACGCACCTTTCCTTGCCAGCGTGTTTAAGGAGAGTTTTTGATCGTATCGGATTGCCAATTACTAACAATTGTTCATGTTTTTGTGATGGTTTTTAGAGTGCAGTGTGCCCGCACACAGGGAATACCAAAAAAATACATAAAAACTATGGCAATTAGCACTGCCAGCACAATATATAACTAGAATTTATGTGCAATTAGTAAAATCCGCATAGCACTGACTTAGTCTTATAATTATTATATAATTTTAATTATATATTTTACAGATTTAAAGTGAAACAGTAGACCATTTTTTGTGTGGTTTCTTTTAACTGGCATTTTTCCAGCTCGATCGAAAACTAAAAAATGACATCCCTTAAAATTTGAAATGTAATCAGAGAACATTTATCTAGAGCATTTACTTGGGCCACTTTGTTTCTATGAATGACCGACACGTTGTCGAGTCTGTCAATCGCCAGCCCGATGCCTTCCTTATGTACAACGTCCGCTGCCTCGTTTCCTTGAAATGCCCAGATGTCTGGGAGACCAGTAGATCCGCACTGACTTTGTCGTACTTAGGGTATTTAGTGTCTTATTGCTCGCCAGGACACTTCTGAAACTAACAGCAGAGCGGACGACCCCATCGTGTGGTCCTACTATGTGCAAGCGACCTCTGCTGTTTTCTTGATAGCGAAAACTTCCGCCTGGAATATGCTTATAAACCGCTTTATATCAGGGCACTAACCAAATAGTATAGAATAGTATTCTATACTATTTGGTTAGTGATCAGGGTTTGTGTTTGTCTGGTTACTGTTTAAAAAGAGGGGCTCTAATTGGGTTAAGTTTGCTTTGCCCTCGGTATATTTACGGTATCTTATCAACGTTCGGTTTATTCCGACGGTTCCAATAAATGCGCGGTCACACTGATCGCAGCCATTAGCAGCTGTTTATTCTGTGTTTGTTTCGTGTTTATTCTCAAAATGTAGTTTTGTGGTAATTGTTTCGTGCTGCTCTTAGCTTGACTACATGATACTGTTTGAGTACAAATAAATCCACCGAATCCTTTCATCCTCAACCACAGAATCAACTAAATTAGGTAAGAGTCCGCCCCGCCCTCAAAACCCGTCTTTGGCCATGAAACCACCCACCCAAAAATACATTTTCAGCACCGCAATGGACTGCGATGGGGCTGCTACTGCTGTGTTGGCTGATGATTCCGGCCATTTCAGTTGCACCAGCGATGAGGGAAACAGAACCAGCCCAATAAGCGATTTACCGCAAGGCAGGGTCGGCGGCTGCGACCAGGAGCCAGAGAAGTCAATGTTTCTTGTTAGGCAGGAGCTGCTTAAGTCGCGCAGCGAAATCGAGCGGCTTGCGAAGTCTGAGCAGTGGTACAAACAGGAACTAAAGTCACAGAAACACGGTCGTCTGGAGACTCTGGAGCGTCTGTATGCCCAGGAACGCAAATATCTTTTGGAGAATCAGAGACTGCAGCAGGAATCAATGAGACTGCATGCCAAGTGTGCTTCGCTGGAAAGGCAGCAAGAGCCCGGGCAACCATTGTCTCTCGGTTCGTCTACATTTTACACCGAAAGTGGCAATTGTGGGAACATTTTCGAAGCACAGCAGCAAGAAGCGCTCCTCGTCGACCAGCGCCAGTTAATTGATGTGCTCCGTAAGCAAAAAAAGATGCTCCTGGAGGATATACAACGTTTGAGTATAGAGCACGACGAAAAGCTAACGCAGCTGCAGCAAGCCTTGGTCGGAATGGAGCTGGAAAGCAAACACATGACGGTAAAATGTAAGCAGCTGCTGGACGAGAAAAGCAAGCTCGAGTATCATTTGGAGCTGAGAGCAACTGCCCTGCGCGGTGTTACAGCCGAGAGGGAGCAGCTGCGTCAAGTAATTGCTGAGCTTAATGATACATTGCTGACGCAAGAGCGATTGCTGGCCCTAAAGGAGCAGGAATTCGTAGATCTCAAGCAGTTTTACCAGCAGAAGTTGAGCGAGGAAACCAGCATAGACGTTATGCACACATACAGCCTAAAATTTCACGAGGAGATCAACTGCAAGACCAGTGAGATAGCGACTCTGAAAAATTCCCTGAACGAGCTTCAATCGGAGTTGATGGTCATGTCCCAACTGAAGGCCAAGAATGAGGAGCAGCAGCGACAGTTGGATCAATTACAGTTTACTGTGCAGGCTCAGTTATTGGAGCAAGAGCAACTAAGGCAAAGTGATGGCCTGAAGCTAGATCAAGTGCAGAAACTAAATATTTCTCTTGAAGCACTGCATCTGGAAAAAGCAACCCTCAGCGAAAGTCTCATGGAGGCACTTAATACATTGAAAAACCTGGAGCAGGAGGTGCATCGACTGCACAGACAATATGCCGAAATGTGCGCGAAGTGCGAAGACACCAAACTGCAGCTGGAACTAGAGAAAAACGGTCTGGCCAGGCTGAGACAGGATAGTTCTTTGAGAGAAAGCGCCCTGAGTAAGAAACTGCGGGACCACGCAGATCAGTGTCTTCGGCTGGGAGAAGCCATGGTGAAAGCAGAGGCCAGACTAGATAGCCAATCGGCACATGCACAGAAATGGAAAGAGCAGCTCAAAAAGATGCACCAGGAGAAAGAGAAAGTACAAGTGAATTGTCAAAGCCAGGGCACGCAAACTGAGACCGATGACCCAGTGCTGATACAACGAATTGAGATGTTGGAGAGGCACCTGGCAGAAGTCCACTCCCAGAAAATGCAAACTGTTTCACTGCTCCAGAAGCTTCTCCAGCAACAGGATTCGAAGATCAAGAGTACATCTGAAATGGAAGCAGATTGGCGTCAGCTTCTGGAGGCCTTGCAAGCCACTCAACAAATAGAGCAAGAAATGCGACTACAACTTCATCAAAAAACGGTCGAGCTGGATAAGCTGAATGTACTCTTTGCCAGACAAAATGAAGAGCTACAAAATCTGCACCAGCTAAGCCTGGCCAAGGACCAGGAGAATCGCTTGGAGCTGGAGCTGCTGAAAGGAAAATTCCAAGAGAACTTGCAGGTACACTCTGCCGATTCGATAAGCATACAGCATCTACAAGGTCAGGTAAAAGGTTTACTCGAAGAGCGCGAGCATAGGATGCTACAGGAGCACAAGGCAGTGGTCTGCCTGCGCTCTCTAGTACAAGTGCTCGAAATGGAGACAGGCAGAAAGCTGCAGAGTGGCAAAAATTGGCCGCAGCTGGCCAAGCTTTTACGCAAAGAATTGCAAAACGGTAGACTATCCCAGAGAAAAGCTGAACAGCTTCCAGATATAAAACTAAAGCTGGCGGAGGTCACAGAAATACACGAGCAGGATCTCGTCAGGATCAAGGTGAAGTCTTGCAGCTATGCTAAATTTTGAATAAATACCATTTATATTTGCACAGATGATGGAGAAAAGGTTGGTCGCGGAACGTGCAAGCTTTGAAGCATCAGACTCGGGAAAATCCACGGCCAGCACAACGCCCCTTGAACCCGCCCATGAAATTGCCAATCTGATCGATGACTACAAAAAGGTACCGAGCTTCTGTGCATAATTCGGCTCTCGATTTATTCCCCCGTGTTCCCTGCAGCTCGTACAGCAAACCGCCAAGGAGACGGGTCGCCCACGTAACAGCTACATTCTGGATCTGATCGAACGAAGTCAACGTTGCCAGCCAAATTTGTGCCAATTATACGAAGGCGTTGCCGCCTGTCGCTCCGATATGCGGCAGCTGAACATGCTGCTCGCTGCTGCTGCTGGCCCAGAGAAGGCTAGAGAGGTCATGCCCTCGCTGATGGAAGAGCTGCGCGCAGTGTCAGAGCATTCTTAGACAGACGAATGACATTCTCTGCCCTTCTCTGACATTCTCAAACCTGCCAACTTAGCTTTTTATACCCGATACTCGAAGAGTAAAGGGTATATTGTATTTGTGGGGAAAAAATGTAACACACAGAAGAAAGCGTTTCCGACCCCATAAAGTATATATCTTATTGATCAGCATCAATAGCCGAATCGATCTAAAAGAGCGCGTTGGCGTGAGAAGGGATGTAGATGACATATGTAGAAAAAATGTAAAATGTAAAATTTGAAAAACCCCACTAAGGTACAGGGGTACTGCTGAGTACCGGGTATACAAGCTGTGACGAGTAAGAAACGTCCCAAACGTCAATACGATTTTGTTATACCATTACAGTTGGATTATGAATTTAAGTAGATGCTATAAACATCAGCATCAATAGACGAGTCTATTTTGCCACATTTGTATGTGCGCTCGCCTTTCCGTCGTTTCTATTTCGAATAGAATTATCTGGCCAAAAACCAGATTAGATACTTCATTTGGCTTACTGTGTTTATGCTTATACTAGTCTCGAGAACCTTTCAAGATTCTAATCAGTAAAATTGAGTTAAATATGTCTTTATACATATATTTGTATATTTGAGTTGTTTATTGTTGTCGTTTAATTGATTTATTACGACTTTCCGTTTAGATGTATATATTTTTTTTTTAGTTTCTATCAACTTCCAAATTAGGTGTAGAAACTCGAATAAACATACATATATATGCAGCTTACACAATTATCTACTAACACATTTAATCACCCTTTCGTATGTTCCAAAGTGGTAGATCTTTAGTCGATAAATATTTAAATACATATAAATCATACTGGCATATCATTGTAAAAAAAAATACACATAAATTAGCCCCGTCCTCTTCCTAGACCACAAATGCACTATGGGTAAAACGTTTTTCTGACATTAACCAAACGAAAAAAGCTAGAGCTCTACAAATTGGCATGAATGTTCCTTAGACTAAAGTAGAGTTTCGGAAAAAAATGTAGTCCTTTGGACCCCGCCTACCTCCCGCCCCCATACAAACTGGAACCCATTTACGTCGTATTTATTATAAAAGAAGATATTCAAAAGATTAATTATGATAAAAAATCCGTTTAAAGATCTAAGAACTTTTCAAAAATATATTTAATTCACTGATTTAATGATTGTTTGGTTTAAAGTAATTTGATTGGAATCGCTCAAACGTGCGAACTCATTTTCCTAGCTACTTGATTAACTAAGCAATAAATTGGATAATTTTCGTTTGAATTGTAATAGTTTCGTCGTTAGTTAGTCAGTTTTTGTCAATACTCTTTAAATTACAACATTTTATTGCGTCTGCTTCACGATTGTTGTTGGTCCACCCCTCCAGCAGCGCTGCATAAATAAACTCATAAACATCTGCAAAATTTAAAATTTTTCGAAAAGGTGCAAAAACGGGCAAAAAGCATGAACACCACGTGATTCTAAAATATTTGGTTAATAATAAGTAACTTGAACTTCTGTGCAGTGGTGTGCTGTGCAAAAGTAATATTCCACAGAAAACAAGTGCAATTGTTAGTAACAAGCTAAAAAGACACACGAACAAAACATTGGACAATTAAACAACTACACACAACTATACAAAAACATGTATTAACAACTAATTTAAATACCTCGACCTGTTATTTTCATATTTTTACTTGTATATAAACTTTGTAATCGAGCTACAATTACAGCTGCAATCGCTCAATTTCTCCCACACTTTTTCACAAGTCAAAGCATCTCAAAATCAGCCGACTTTGAAAGTGCGCAAAAAACATATGGTACTAGGTACAAATGTTCTAAAACCAATTTTGTTTTATCTGGATATTTAGGAATCAGAAAAGTTCATTTAAATATTTTACCCAAAAAAATTACATAAATGCCAAATATTCGGGCTTCTGAACCCAGCAGAACGCTGCCCTCCTCCCGCCCAAATGACCGAGGGGCGCTGCCGCATGACGCTCGGCGCGATTAACCGAAACGGTCGCGAGCATGCAGGAAAGATAGATGTTAGGCTAATATTCGAGGAAAATTAGAGCTAAACACAACTAGACTAGAGCTACTACAAAACTAAAATGAAACTAACTACGGGAGAGGTAGGCTAGTATAAGAGATTTAAGAAGAGGAAGGGAGTTAGTTGAGGATATAATGTGGAAGAGGGAATTATAATCCGAGCATAAAACCCTAAAGGGTTCGTGTGAGGCATAATTCGATCTACATAGTGGAAGGAACAAAGGAATAAAGTTTCTAGTGGGTCTAATGGGAATCGTAAAGTTTATGCGACTCAGCAAGTAAGGGCTGTCTACATCCCCCTCGATCAAGTTGTGCATAAAAATTACACCAAGCATTTTTCTACGACTAACTAAGGATGGAAGATTTATTAAAAGAAGTCTACTACGGTAGGATGGCAGTCTCACAGTTGCATCCCAGTTGAGGCCCGTAGGGCAATTAATAAAAAGTTGTTATGTACTGATTCAATACGGTCCTGATGTATGTTGTACTGAGGGCACCATACACATGAGCCGTATTCTACAATCGGACGAACAAGCGAGATATAGAAGATATTAGTTATATAGGGGTCATCAAATTCCTTTGACCACCTCTTTATAAACCCAAGCACACCCATGACTTTATTTACCGCGGTAAAAATGTGTTCAGAAAACTTTAACTTGGGTTCTAGTTTAACACCTAGATCATCAACCAATGTAATTCTCTCAAGAGAACTACCGCAGTACCTACCGCGAACTACCGCGAACTAACTTACCTGGTATAAGGAGCCAGGAAGGGGCTGGAGCGATAGAAAGTCATTACATTGCACTTCAAGGCATTAAGTGGTAACATATTTGCACAACACCATGACTGATAGCTTTTGAGATCAGATTGCAAGCGAGAGTGAAATGAAATGTCCTTATACTGGACACAGAGTTTAACATCATCCGCATACATAAGTACTCGAGAATTTGTTAATACAGAAGGCAGGTCATTAATAAAGAGTGTGAAAAGTAAGGGGCCTGAATGGCTACCCTGTGATACTCCAGGACCCTTGAAAAGGACCCTTTGAGACCTAGAACACAGGTAGCTAGAAATCCATCTCAACAGATTGGGCGGAAACCCTTGAAGGTCGAGCTTTTGTGCAAGAAGAGAATGGTTTACAGAATCGAATGCCTTACTGAAGTCAGTGTAAATAACATCCGTCTGCAAGTTACCTTGGAATCCTTTAATTACAAAGGAGGTGAACTCTAAAAGATTAGTGGTTGTTGATCGTCGCCGTATAAATCCGTGCTGAGGTGGTGATATAAGTGATTTGCAGAGATGCTGCAAGTGCGGAGTTAAAAGTTTCTTGAACATTTTAGGAATAGCGGATAACTAGACATAGCTCTATAGTTTTTGGCGTCAGAGTTGCTACCTTTCTTATAGAGAGGAATTATAAAGGATCCCTTCCAGATGGGGGGAAAGATAGAAGAATGGATGGATAGAGTGAATAGTTTAAGCAAAGGTCCGCACAGAGACTCGGCACAGTACCTGAGTAAACAGCCGGGAACTCCGTCAGGGCCCGGTGAAAATATTCATGATATTCATGAAGTAAGGACCTTCATTAAACAAAGGGCAGAAAATGCCATTCGACCTTGGTAAACTATATGGATACACATGACCTGGGTAGCTTTCCTGGGAATAGGAGGTTTGAAAAAAATGGTGCAAAAAGATCGGCGATTGCTTGATCATTGTTTGCCGACATATTCAAAAATGATAGCGAGGATGGATGTGCGGACGTTCTACGCTTACTGTTTACAAAGCTGTAAGACTGTTTAGGGTCCTGTGAAAAACGTATCCTGCATCGAAGGAGGTAGTTCCTATAGCATTGAGCATTAAGAACAGTAAAATTGGACCGAGCTATTAAGTAATTAGAAAGAGAAGAGGGAGATCCAACTTCTTGAGATTTTTTAAATAGTCTTGATTTTAGATTTTGTAGACTGGATAACTCTTTGGTGAACCAAGGAGGTTTCGCAGATCTAGTCGGACATGAAAGTGGGACACACGTGTCAAAAATTGTGTCAAGTACATTGTAAAAAATGTTTGTGCCTTCAATGACGTCAATGCACGAGTACAGAGCGGACCAATCAAAATTTCTAATTAAGTTATTGAGCTTCGTAAACTCGGCTTTACGAAAGCAGCGGACGCGTTCAGATAGCCTACCCGCACGATCCGATACAGTAGGTCCAATATCTATCGACACTTCGAAAGTAGGATGATAGCAGTCTTCAGGTATAGTGAGCGGGAGTGCTCGTGTTAACAACGCTACGGTCGGATCCGAGACAAAGCACAGATCAAGCATCAAGCAGATCAAGATCTTACCCATAGTGAAATAGCGAAAATCTGCTGTCTACAATTTAGAGATAAGAGAAATCTAAAATCCGTAGGGTTCTATCAGATCAGTTTGCTTCCCCCACCCCGTGTGGGTGCATCATGCTGAGTGTGTCAATGGGGCAGGGTGGTGAGTTGGCGGGTGAAGTGAAGTATGTATGTAGATGAATGGTGCACCAGCTGTTCTCTCAGTACACACACGTACTTCGTACCGATATATCGATAAGAATCCATGGATTTCGTTAACGTTGCTGGATACTCAACAAACAAAAAGTCAAATTAAAAGTTTCTGGTTCAATTTTTTATACCCGGTACTCGAAGAGTAAATAGGGTATATTGTATTTGTGCGAATAACGGTTATATGTAACGTACAGAAGAAAACGGTTCCGACCCCATAAAGTATACATATTCTTGATCAGCATCAATAGCCGAGTCGATAGAGCCATGTTTGTCTGTCCGTTTGTCCGTACTGATGAGCGCCTAGTACTCAGAGCCTATAAGAGCTAGAGCCACCAAATTTTGCATCCATACTTTATGTTGTCTTCATGCTCACACTGTTGCAAGTGTATTTCAAAAATGAGCTCCGCCCCCGCAAAAGAGCGAAAACCTCCCAAATCTACAATTTTGAAGATAAAAAAAACTAACCATTCCGTAGGGAATGACCATATCTATGTGATCACCAAATTGGGATCCGACTGGATCATTATTATAGCCACAA